GCTTAACCGTCTGAGCCACCCAGGCGCCCTGTTTGTTGTTTCTTAAGTTCTCTAAGCTATCTACTTTTTTACATTGTTTTTCGGTTTGTTTGTTTGTTTGTTTTTTTCTTTTTTGTTGCTCTGATTGGGTGAGTTCTACTGCCCTGTATTTGAGTTTACTCATCCTTTCTTCTTCTTCATCTAGTTTACTGTTGAACCCCTCTGGTTATTTTTCAGCTCATCGATTGTATTCCTTAGCTGTCCCATAGAGAAGGATCTAAGTCAACAACTAGATTCAGGCTGATTATAAGTCAGACCCCTCAGGCAGCAGCTCTTAAACCATACAAATATATACAGTCCTGTAGGACTACAAGCATTAATCCTGCTGGCTACCTACGCTGGGCACCTTGGAAGTGTCTCCTGAGTGTCAGTCACAAAAATTGGGGTACCAGACAACTATATGAGCTCCTTTCTGGGAGATAACAGCAATCTGAAGCAAGGCAGATAGAGTGTACAGGGTGGCATCTCCTGACTTCTGTCCCAGTACAGCATCTTAGAAGGTCCTTAGATGTATGTCAAACCAAAAGCCTGCCCCTCAGGCCAGAGCTCCAGGACAAGCAAATAGTCCTTTATCACAGAAAGCGTGGGGAGTGGGGGTCAGGGGGGGTGTTAGCTCGTGTGTGTATTGTGTCCTGGAGTTTGTAGCCTGCCAAAGTCTGCCTCCCCACTTGTTACAGTCCTATGGGCTATAGGAATGCAGATCCTGCTGGCCACCAGAGCTAGGCAGTGAAGGGCCATCCACTAGGTGGTGGTCACAGCAATCAGGTACCAGGCATAAAAACTGGTACCAGACCTGTGTACAAACTGCCCCCTGGGGATGCTGGCACTCTGGAGCATGGCAGAAGGAGAACATAAAGCTAGCCCTCTGAGGTCTCTGGAACGGTTTACAGACGGCCCTCAGATGTGTGTTGGATCAGAAGTTTATCCCTTAGACGTAGCTGTGGAAATTAACTCATAGGCCTCTTTCACAGAAAAACTCGGCTCCTCGGACTGTTGCCTCTTGCTGTGCTCTGGAAATGGTAGACAGTTAAAAACTCTTTCTCTTTTGGTTACAGTCCTGTGTGACCCATGCTTGGCAATCTAGAGGTGTCACCTCATAGTACCTGCAAAAATCAGCGCACCAAATGAGGGTATAAACTCCTTTCTGGGAGACACAGACACGCTGGAGGGAGGCAGAGAAAGAGGGTAAACATGACGTCCACCAGCCTCCCTGCCCTGAGAGTCCTTCTAGATGGGTGCCAAACCAGAGGCCTGCCCTCAGGCCGACACTGCAGGACAAGCACATAGTCCTTTATCACAGACAGACTGGGCATGTATTTCAGTCTGCCAGCTGTGCAGTACCCTGGTAGCTGGCCGAGAACTTGTCTCTCCAGTTGTTAGAGTCCTGTGGGTCCCCGGAATGTAGGCCCTGCCAGACTCTAGAGCCAGGCGATCAAGGGGCATCCACTGGGTGGGCACTTGCAAAAACTGGGGCACCAGGTGTAAAAATGGTGCCAGATGCATGTAAAAGCTCCCCTCTGGGAGATACTGGTGCGCTGGAGCGCAACGGGGGGACGGCATGAAGATGGTACCTAGATTAAAAAGTCTCCACTGGCCGCCATCCTTGGAGAGTACCCCAGCAGGCCCCCAGATGTGTGTTAAATAAGATGTCTGCCTCTCAGGCCAATGCTTTTTTTTTTTTTTTTTTAAGATTTTATTTATTTATTTGAGAGAGAGAATGAGAGACAGAGAGCACAAGAGGGAAGAGGGCAGAGGGAGAAGCAGACTCCCCGCTGAGCAGGGAGCCTGATGCGGGACTTGATCCCGGGACTCCAGGATCATGACCTTCTCAGGCCAATGCTTTAAGAGCAGTAAGCCTGTTTGATGTCAAGTCTGGCTACTTCTGCACTGGGCTCTGGTGTGCAAGGGAGGCCAGGGGCCCTGTTAGGGGCCCTGAGCCCATCCTGAGCCATTTCTCAGTTTGCACACTAGCCTTTTGGGCCTCATGGATGCAAACCCTGCTGGCTTTCAAAGCTCTAAGTTTTAGGGGCTTATTTCTCAGGGGTAGGTCTTAAAAGTTGGGCTTCCCGATATGGGGTTCAAACCCTTCACTCCTCATGAGGAGCTCTGGATTTTGAATGCTGAAGGTGGGGTTTTCAGCAAGATTGCATCTCTGCCTTGCCTGCCCACCTCAGTGTGGGTGGTTTGCCCCATGTTACGAGTCCCTCAGCTTTTGTTTTTGTTTTCAGAGGAAATCGTTCCATATGGAGCTGTGGATCTGGTGTGTCCATGGGAGGAGGTGAGTTCAGGATCTGCTTATGTCTCCATCTTGAACTGGCCTTATTCCTTTTTATGGCTAAATTATATTCCATTATATGGATATCCCCCATTTTGTGTATCCACTCAGCTGTGGATGGACATTTAGGTTGTTTCTGCCTTTTGGCTGTTGTGAACATTCATGTACAAGTATTTGAGTACCTGTTTTCAAGGTTTTGCAGTGTATATATGTATTCACTTCAGAGAATTGCTGTTTATATGGTAATTCTGTTTAACTTCTAGAGGAACTGCCCAACTGTTTCAGCAGTGGGTGCAGCATTTTACATTCCCACCAGCAGTGGATGAGGGTTCCAGTTTCTCCACAGGGTCCTTGCTAACACTTATTTCCCCACCCCACCCCCTTTTTTAAAGTAGGCTCTAGGCCCAATATGGGGCTTGAACTCAAAATCCTGAGATCAAGAGTCCTACGCTCTACTGACTGAGCCAGCCAGGTGCCCTTCCTTTTTTATTTATAGTCATCCTGGTGGGTGTGAAGTGGTATCTCATTGTGGTTTTGATTTGCATTTCCCTGATGACTAACGTTGTTAAGGATTTTTTTTTTTTTTAAAGATTTATTTATTTATTTGAGAGAGCGAGAATGAGAGAGAGTACATGAGAGGGGGGAGGGTCAGAGGGAGAAGCAGACTC